TTTTTAAAAATCTATATTGCATATATTATAAATGTTTTTTTAAAAATCTATATTGCATATATTATAAATGTTTTTTTAAAAATCTATATTGCATATATTATAAATGTTTTTTTTACAAAGTTGTGTTTAAAAAATCTACACTCACACAGACAATTTTCCGAGCGAATTTTAATTCTGGTAAAAATTGGAATCGAAAATCTGCAAAATTAGAAATCGATTCTTAACACCAAGCTTGCCAAAAAAATCAGTTATTGGTCTTCAAATGCATGTATTCATCAAAAATAACGATTGAGAATTCATCTTTCTTTCTCCCCAATAGCCAGCAAAGATTTGAACCTTATATAAAGTGTTAGCTTTAAGAATTCTAAAAATATGTTTTAGTGGTGAACAGGAGATAGCGATAGTGGCGATGTTGAGTATGACGAAGGTATTAAATATTGCATCTGATATAAGAAAGTTTCAGTAGATTTATAAATACAAGTCTTATTAACCGTCCTAAGAAAGCTTGATTCCTGTTAAATGTAAAAAAATCTAATTCCCCGGATTCAAAATTTCTTTTCTCAAACAAAAATAGTTATCAAGTAAAAAAACTTAAAATTAAAAAATTATTTAGTATTTTTTTATTTCTGAACAAATATTTAGAATGAGCTATTTATCTGGAAATATATATAGAAATTATTTTATATCAATTTGCAATAAAAAAACAAAAATTATAATTTTCTTATAATTATTTTTTATCTATAAAATAATAAATTTAATAAAAATCAAAGAAACAAAAATGTATTCTATAGCAAAACTCAATAATAAAATTTATAAACTATTATTTACATAAATATAAACTGACAATATTTATATAGAAATATTTACTAATTGATTCCTTAATAATTACATATTGCATTTATAAATAATATATATACAAAAATTATATATCATTTTATTGAAATTTATTATTTTAATTCTGTCAATAAATTTTAGTTAATATTATTATTAAATAAATATTTATAATTATATTACTTGTAAAATATAATAATTTTTATTTTTTAATTTTAAGGAACTAATAACAATGAAAATTTCGAACGATTTATCTTCTTTATAAGATAGTTAATTGCTGAAGAAGTTTAAGCAACTTGCGAGCAACTATTAATTCAATGAAATAACTGAATCTCACGAGCTGTAGCATTGTAAATGCAAAGTATTCAGTTTCTATTCTTAGTTAATATAAAGTCTTTAAGCTCCAAAACAGTTGGATAGTATTTGTTATCTTAGATCGTATTCTTTCTTAAATGTCGAAGATATGTTGATGTTTTGGGCAAAAATTTTTGCCTCTGAAGCTATCCGAAACTCTAATTTTGAAACACTTTGTAGATTAAATTGGACGAAACTAGTTTTTCCTGAAACACCAATACAATTAGTTCTGTCTGACAGCTATATTAATAAAAGTTCGTTATATCATATTTACCAGTCAACTCTGGATATAACGAACTCACAATTTATTATGAGTTCGCTATATAAAATATAGTAAATTTGATATAACGAACTTTTAATATAGAACCGTCAGTTCGTTATAAACTGAGTTGTCTATATAATTTATACAGTAAACTCATAATAAATTTAAAATTACGAGTTAATTATATCTCGTGTTCGTTATAAAAAGGGTCAGTTATACATGTAAAAGGTTAGTTTTCCGGAGTTGACTGTATGTAGCTCCCAAATGGTCGTTTACCTGTTACAATTTCGTGTATCACCATAAAATTTGCAGTTTTAATGCATGGCTTTCCAATACAAAGGTAACAAAAATGGTTGGTACACTAGTGGTTTTTTTTGGAGAACCTCTAGAGAAATTCCGGATTTTTAATGGTTCATAATTAATTCGTTGAATTTAGGAGAAAACCATATAAGGGAAATGACTTATCATGTGATTTCAATTTATTATAAGGCTCACCCCACCCACCTGATAATTATACAATATTATTTATATTGCCTATATAATCATCGTTGACCCTCCCTAAAAATCAGGTGATAAAAGTCTCTTCCCTAAACCTCAACAAAACCACTAAGAAATCCGGGACTCTTCTAGAGGTTTACAAAAAAAACCACTAGTGTACAAACTCTTTCTACTTGTGGTAGAAATATTGTAAGGAAGGATGTCGTAATGTACATGTAATTATATCTGCTCAAACAGCAGGTCAAATGCACAAATCCTCTTTTTGCCGAAAATATCAATTTGGAAATTTTTTCCGAAAATCACATTGTTTTAGTTATTCTAAGATTCTATTGAATTTATATATATTGTTTACAATAGGATCTGCATGGTCGTTATATCGAGAGTCGACCGTAGAAACAAAAAAGCATCGTGTCTGCTCTTTAGAAATTCTTCATTTTTATAAACTTTAATGTAATTTGCTTTATAAACTTACAAAAATCATATTTCACCAGACTATTAGAGCTGTACATTTCTATAATCATGAATATTGTACTTTTTTTTACAATAGAAGCATTTATTAAAATCATGAATATTAGTTTCAATCGTTCTAACATAAAATTTATGTTTATGTTGCTAGCCTTCGAGTGTATAAATGATTAAAAATTTAAACATTTTCATGTCTTGACAATAAAAAATTATCAAACGAAAGCTTAAAAATTTAAATATTAACAATTTTTGTTGACTGCCATTTAGATGTAGTTATTTTTTTGGCACTGTATGAACTCCCCACTTAACCAGGTTATTAATTAGTAATAAAAGTTTTGAAGAAACAAAAATCTTAAATTTTCTACATGAGAGATACGGATAGTAGTGGTGTATGATCATGTGAGATGATACTCATAACGATAACGAGTAAATAACAAATCAGTAAAATTTATTACGTTAATTATAAAAACATCAAATCTCACATCTTAATTGCGTAAACTGTATAGTGTGATGTATATTATACATGTTATATTGAGTCATTGACGCAAATATGGTTGTTAACGGGGCACTGCGGACCATAATATAACATATAACCCACTCTGGAGTGGGTTATATGTTTTAACATGATCCGGAGTGCTCCACCAACAACCCTAGACGCAAATAGTGGAGTCAGTAGACGATTAATTGAGTCGAGGACAAGCTAGTTTGATCACATGTATTACACATGATACTGGAAAAGGATTTAACATTTTAAATAATCTTGTCTTACGGCAACACTCGTTGCTTGTCATTTTACGCAAAAAGAGCTTCAAACGCAGGGGTGAAAGTTAATTCAATTAGTAATAGCAGTTCACGATATTATTTGATGTGAAATTTTTTTGGTCAAAATATTACTAACTTGTCTAGAATTCTATGGAGAGGTATAGTCGCGAAATCTAGAAGAGTTAAGCAATCGGATCAGTTTTAACTAAGTTTGGGACTTAATTTGGAAAATGGGATCCAGTTTGGGGAAATGGGATCTAATTTGTGATTATACAAATACATGTACGTATGTCGTATTCCCAATAAAAGTGGTAGAATGTAGAAATTGTTGGGTAAGAGTTTGAGCTCCAGTTACGTTATAGCGATAGGATATACATGTACATGATGCATTGATACATATGGATATACACTACGTACGTACTTTCTGTAACACATGTGAGAGATTAAGCGAAATCTGATGGACCAATGAGATTAGAGAATTGAAATTAATATCTCATCTTCAGCCGTCACAATAATTATAAAAAAAGGTTGGTGACAATTATGGAAAAGGGTTAGGATTCAGAGTAGGATAGGAATCACTTAATTTTGTAGAATCGATTAATGTTTGAGAATCGATTGAAATTTAAGAATTGATTAAAATTTAATAATCGATCAAAATTGGAGAATCGATTTTAAAGACAAAATCGATAACGATAATTCATGTTAAATGATATAGCGCACGACAAACTACTACTCTGTCATTCAATAAAAATGTTAATACCAAGAAACTATTGCCAATATAAAAAGTTTAATAACTCTGATAGTGATACTAACGCTAATGCCAAAAGTAACTAATATTAATCCAAATTTGAATGATATTTATGAGACAACAGAAATACATGTAATGAAACGAATGCGGAATCTGACGACAATACTTCAATTGCTTCTATACCATCTTTAATACGTGGTACCTCTACGAATTCAACCAATCAAAACATAATTTCAACTAATCAAAATATAGCTTCAACTTTCCAACGAAAAGGGAAAAAAATTCAACATGCAATGAAAAACAAAACCAAAGATCAGTTATGTCATCGCTTGCTGTCATCGTCGTCATCATCGTCATAATCTGTGCTTGAGAATCGATTTTGGGTTGAGAATATTAATCGATTTTAGAATCGATTATGGGTTGAGAATCGATTCTTATCCCTAATTCAGAGTATATTAAATTTTGTCATTGATTATTTATATACCCTGCTAGATTTCATTTTAATCTGTCACAAATTTTAAAATGCAGTAAAATGGATTAAATTTAAATTGAATTTTATTTTTATTTTTTACTGATTTAAGCTACATAATGATATGTGTGTTTTACAAATTATTGTTAACATGACATGTAATCAAATACTTTTGTCCAGGTAGTGTGTAATTATGGTAAAAAAATGAGATAATAATAAATTAATACGTAAAAGTTCTTGTATCTATTAAAACTGTGACATAACACAGCACATTTTAATAGGCCGGTTCGCCAAAATATTATTGGTTAATGTGACATGTCAAAGTATGTTACGAATAAGTTAATTGTAAGCTGTCGAAGTACTGACAGCTATCTGATGAGGACTATGCGAAACGACTTCGGACGCAAGGTTAACACGGACAGTTTTGGCGGTAAGATCAGAAAGGGCGTCATTGATTTCGAGTACTATCTCTGCGTGCTCAGCATAATTCGGCGTGGCTTTCCCCTTGATTTTCCCATCCAAGGATGCCTTCATCTTTATTGTGTAATGGGTGATGACGGAGCGCCACACTAGATTCCAATTGGCAGTTGAGTTCTCTCGCTGGTTGTATTGGGCGAACAAACCGTTGACGGCATTGTTAAATTTTTCTGCGCGACTCCTTGCTATGTTTCCGATCACCTTTTTGCCCACAAAGTATGCGACATTAATGCTTATATGGGCTATTCCGAGAGGTGTTAACGCAAGGGAAGGAAGGAAAATAGCAGTCGTGATCACGAGCAACCCGAAAAAGGCATACGTAAAGTATGTCTGTACTCGTTCGCTCAATAGCGGGAATTCGCGAATATGTTTATTGATTTCGTTAATTCGAGCGGCGAACTCGTCGCGAGAGAGGAAACCATGAAGATCAAGGCACCACTCTGAGTCAAACAAATAGCTATATCCACAACCAGAAGTGTTCTGTCCTACAAGAGGGATTATGACGATTTTCATTGCGCAAGTTAATCGAGTAAGACGTGTAGAAATGAGAGTTACAAGTTTAGAGATGAGATTTGCGTTTTACTGCGAGGCGAGAGTTCTCTGCGTTATATAAATTGATTGCAAATTATTTCTTGTTACACCCTTTGGCGAACTAAGCAACAAGGTTGCATGAGTTAAATTTTAAATTTAAATTAAGTTTAAATTTAAATTTATGAAGAGGTTTATTGTCAATACGAATATAAATAATTACACAACGCTTTGATAGGTGGATGAAAAAACCAGCATTTCATAATGAAGTTAGGAGATTAAGCTTCTTGGAGGAGTGTAGAAATCACGAATCATATTTGAGCAACAATGCATGAATGCATCATATGAAGATTCGCACTTACTGTTTTTGTGCTGTCAAGTAAAAATCCGCCTTCTGTACCACCACCCCGAATTTCGGCCAAACGAAAATCGAATTACATAAACTTTAGAATGTTAATTTTGGCTGCATCCGTGTAAGAACCTATTACTTTTCCCACGTCCAATCGCGCGTTATAAAATCCCCTGATTTATACACAAAAATATGTCGCACAAAAAAGGAAAATACTACAAAGAAAAACAGATACATGGTAAAAACAGAAAGAATCGGGAATATTGATTGTTGTTTGGCATTTGGTTGGTTTCCAATTGTATAATACGTATTAGGTAAGGGTTATTAACATTTATTTAAGTTTTCAATATGTAGTCGAATGCATACTACGAGACTAAATACGTAAATGTGATTCTAGATTCTATACATTCATGCATCCATGCATAAATATAACGATTGAACATAAGAAAGATTATTCTTTGCATATACACGAGCACAGACCAATGCAGGAGCCGAATCACAAAAACAATTCATTACATTGTAACCTTCGTCACGAAATTATAAACGGTAAAATCTACATTAGATTTTTATGTAAGTTTACGGACATTATAACTCATTGGATTTTTACATAATTTTACGGATCCTATGTAATAATTACATGTATTTTTATGTCAACATTTTTATGTAAACTTGATCTATTATTGTATTTCTTATGTAAAATTTTTATGAATGAAATTTATGAGGAATTTTTACATGAAAATATATCTATCATAGAAAATTATATTAATTTCTCCTGATGTTGGTGCAATTCCACTTGGAATTTGAAGTCGTAAAACATCAAGTGTGAGTTGAATATCGCCGTAATCCAAAGTCGCATATGTATCCACTGCAAGTGTATATTCGCCACTACGCAAATTTCTGGAGTAATATGTGTTTTGATTCCAAAAGTGCCAAAAACTGCTATATATTAATAGAATTGTTACATGTATATTATACGTACGTATATGTGTTCAAAATTTTGCTCAGACAAACGCTAAAATTACGAATTCATAAAAAGCATTTAATGTCCGATATAAAAAAGTAATATGATTGGATAAATTGTTGATTCGGCTCGTAGCCATTTATATCCAATCCGATTTGTTTAATATGCAGAAAATAAATCACGACATTAATTGCGCATTTCGTAAATTTAATTCGTCCAACTACCACTACTAAAATTTTTATGTTCACATGTGCTACACCAGTATAGACTTGTCACTTTTGTGCAAGTTTCTGCCAGCATAAACTTATTCATCGATACATTAATCAAAACACTGAATTATTATCATTTTAAATATCATAATAGCCATTATCTAATTTAAATCGTACGTCCTCTATCTAAATCAGCAAAAAATATATGCGCAAATTAGCTAAGGTATGCAATTTAATGGTATCGCACACAGTACATGTCCCCCGACGACCAGCATAAAACATTTTGCATATTTTGAAGCAGAGTTTATCTGCTCTGTCTGTTTATTTGATGTTATTTTTAAAGGCAGTATTCTAAGACAAAGAATAATGGCAAATATTTCCTGCTTGTATTTTTAATATAATCGTAGCAAAAAAAACCTTAAAATGAGTCTATCGAGCAAAATAGCAAAGATCAACGGGTAATGAAAGTGAATTCTTCATGAACACCTGGTTCCACAAGAAATTAAATTGAAAGTTAATGCAATAACACGACTTTTTTTAAATTTACTATATAAATAACGTTAAAGCTAATCGTAATAGATTAACGTTAAATATTAATCGAATGAGTTCATCAACACCTTATATACCAAATCAAGGTTCAATAACCGAGTTCGGATAATAATTAAACTGAACAATGCTAAATTATGGATTACAAATGAATATCTATTCAAACAATCATAGCGATAGAATTGCTTTAAATGGAAAGTTAAATAAGAAGTGAGTTTTAATACGTACCTACTCTTTTAGAATTATCTTTCAACATCTACCTCTCACATTACACAATCATATTGTATCACACTATTTTCACCAATCGGCAGAACAAAACGAATGTATGCTCAATTTCTTTTGACGAACTCGTATCTATAAATTTTGATAATAAATTATCTTGAAAATATAAATTTGATCAAATGTTTATTATTTATTAATAATAAAATTAATCCCGTGGATGCTATTGTTGCCGTAGCAACATAAAATTCCTTAATTCCATAAATTTCTAACATAATTTGAACATGATTATCATCAATATTTATTTCATTATATAATTTTAACAACAAATTAACATCTTTCTAACATTTATTTTTAACTTTTCAACGTTTAACATTTTTTTTTGTAATTTTCTTGATACTTATAATATTTAACATCTTGTTCAACATTAATTTGTTATTTTTATGTACAGTCAAATCTCGATATAACGACCCTCTTGAGCTGGAAATGTTTTTCGTTATATCGAGTTTCCTTATGAAACTTCGCTATATAGAGGTAATTTTAAAACAAAAGGTCTTTGTTTCTTTCGTTATATCAAGGATTTCGTTATATCCAGGTTTCGTTATATCGAGGCTTGACTGTAGTTAACACTCATTTAACATGACATGTAGTACTCACCTTTTAACAAATCTAACAAACTTGATACTTACACTAGAAGTATTGATTTATAATTATAACAATTGGATACTAATTTAATATTTATAGTAATATCAAACATGTAATTAGTATAGCTCTAAGTTTGTATAAAAGAAGCTCTTTTCAATAAAAGAAGCTTATATTCTAATTAATAAAAGTAATAACTTGTAATAAATCACTTGTTAACAAATCTTTTTACTTGATTAACTTTAAATTTGTATATAATAGAAAAACTCTACTTTAATAAGTCTTTGTAGAAGTTCTCTACTTTAGATTTTGATTTTGTTAATTTAAATTGATTTTGTTATTTTTTTTATATTTATATTTTTTGTTTAGACAATTTCAATAAGTTTTTAATTAATATTTTGATTTTTAGTTATTTTATATATAATATTCTTTTAAAAATTTTCCTTATCCTTGTTTGTATTAATCACAATCTTTACAAAGATTAATATAAAAAATCTAGAATTTTTAAAAAATATATTTTAATTATCAATTATTTAGTTTAGCTTTATACTTGTATTATAATTGAAGAATAATAATAATATTTTAGTATTTTCTCTATAAAAAATATTATTCTTTATAAAAACTAAATTGCTTAATTATTTTTAACACTTTTAAATTTTTATATTCTCTTTGTAGAATTATTTATTTTTATTATTTTTTTATAAATTTAATTACTCTTTTTTAATATTATTATATTTATTTTTTTGTAAATTAATTATTTTATTAATAAATAAATATAAATTTTTATTAAAAACTTATTAGTTAATATTTAACTTAATAATAATAAAAATAATAAATTATAAGTATATTACTAATATTATAATTTTTTATTAAAGAATATATTATATTATATTATTATTTTTAATTTTAATATAAGATATTGAAGTAATAAATTATATTTAAATTATTTTCATTAATAAATTATTTAATTATTGAATACTTTAAGAATTTTATTTAAGTAAAAATCACATTTAAATAGTTATTAATACTTTGAAACAATTTATAAAATTAAAAAATTTGAAAACTCTAAATAATAAAAAATTATTAAAATATTATTTTAAAATATAAAATTATAAATTAACCAAATAAATTATTATTTTTATTTGAAAATACCAAAAAAATAATTGAAATTTGAATAATTACAAAATTATCAAGTAATTGCTAAAATAAATAAAATAACAAATAAAAAATTAAAGTTTTAATTTAAAAATATATAAATTAATAATAAGACAAGTTGAAAATATTAAATTATTAAATTATTAAAACAAAAGTAAATACAAATTATAACTAATAAAACTCTGATAAATATAATTAAATAGCCAAAAATATGAAAAAAATAAATAATAATATACTATTATATAGTTTTTTAGCTTTAATTTATATAATAAATAATAATTTAATAAAACAAATTATAATTAATAAAACTTTAACAAATATAATTAAAATATAAAAAAATAAAAAATAAAATACTATTATATAATTTTTATCTTTAATTTATATAATAAATAATAATTTAATAGAAGAATTTTTATTATAAGCAATTAGATTTTAAAATAAGTAAATTAAAAATTATTTTATTCTAAATTTTAATATTTTAAAATAAATATTATAAATAATATTTGTTTTATTATTATATTTCTTTACTATTAATATTTTATATTAGTATTTTATAATAAATTATATAAAATTTATAATATAAAATAATAATAATTAAATTCTTTTAATTAATTCTTTTAAATATTTAATTTTAAAAATTTATAAATTTTATAATTTATTTACAAAAAATATTATTTTTATTGGTTATATTATTTTAAATATTTTTTTTAGTTTATTATTTTATTATTTATTTAAATATTAAATAATATTAAATAATATTAATAATAAATAGAAAATATATAATAAAATAAATAGAATATACAAAATAAATATAAATATAATATACAAAATATAAATATAAATATAAATCTAAATATAGATTAATAAGATATAATTTATTAATAAAATATAATACTTTAATATTTATATATTATATATTTGCAAAAAAATATACTAAATTAAATTGTTTTCAATTAATATAAATAACTATTATTAAAATAATAATAAAAATAATTAGTAAAATTATAATACTAAAAATTATAATATATAAAATATTATAACTATATAAAAAATATGTTATTTAAAGTAATATTAAAGAATAAGAGAATAAGAGAATAAAGTAAAAATAAAATATTATTTTTGAAAAAAAAGCTTCAAAATTTCTAAAAAATACTTACAAAATAAAATATTTATTTATTATTATTATATTTGATTTATAAGTTAACTCATATAAAACTTTATTTATTCTAGTATTATATATAAATTTATATAATGTTATAGTAAATATATAAAAATTTCGAATTATTAAAGAAAAATAACAAAAAAAACGAATTTATAACAAAAAAAATGAATTTATGACAAAAAAATTAATTTCTTTCAAAATATAACTAATTTATTTGAGAAAATACTATTTAAATTATAGTTTAATCATTAAAAAAACAAATTATTGCTATTAATATTGAACAATATATTAGAATAAATAGATTTATACTAGAAAACTAATATTAATAGTTATATAATACTATAATAACTGGAAACAATCTTGGTTCTGCACGCCAATAAAATTGAATTCATTAATCATTCAAATCTTCGTCTTTTAAATTTATTACAATTGTCGTTGACACTTAACGAAAATTGCTTTAAAAATGTGAAGAAATTTGTTTGTCATCATGAGGGTGAGTGTAAAAAACACAATTATTTTCTGATGCAGTCAAAGTTATGAGAAAATTACAAGTAATTAAAGTTTTGAGTTTGAAGCATAACGAAGAAGGGTTGGCATTTGGAGATCTTGTTCGAAATCAAAATTGTCTGGAGAAACTCTTTATAAATATTGCAAACGGAGAAGGATTAAAAGGTCTTACAAAAATACAACTAGATGCAGAAATAACTTTTTCTTTTCAACAAGTCCTTTATTTCTATTCAACATTTAAAGTTAGTTAGTTAATGTTGATTTCGGTGATGCATCACTTATGCATTTATTGTCCAAGCTCAAAAATCTTAAAATTTTGATTATTATTTGTTGCTCAATTTCAAAAAAGATAGACATACCGAAAATTTGACAATTAGTAAACAATTAAAGCACTTTACAATTCGAGATACGTCTCTCAGTATTTCTAACATGACATCAATTATAAAAGGTGCTGACGAGAATCTTCATGAACTATACGCCTCTAATTGGCAATCTGCAACATCACAAATAATTGAATGCATATCACAACATTACCAAAATCTCGTTTTACTTGGTATAACTTTATCCGGTGATATTTCCCGGAAATCATAAATCTCATTGAATCGAATAAAAAACTTGAAAAAATTATATTCCTTTAGAATTTAGATATGGATACTTAGATTCTAGTCTTTGTAAAATTTTACTGAAAAACATCTAGATGTAATGATTGACCACACAAGAAAACAAAAACAGCATGGACTTAAATCATTCTGAATTTTATACGGGTCTTGAAGTTTCTGCTGAAGAAATACAATTAGCAAGAGAATAGCCACTTTTTCACATATAAAAACAATTACTCAACCAATTTTATTGATGTTTTAAATTTTTGGCTTTGTTATAGCAATACTACATTGTGTAATATTTACAGTCCCGGTCATAAGTAACTGACTTCTGTCTCTGAAAATTTCTGAGCACAAAGAACATCACATGCTGATCATTTATCGATTGATAGAGCTTCTATATCGGGTATTGTATGTTCATAAAGTTTCATACTTCAAATACAATAAATCGGTCACTTTAGGACATAATATCTCAACGTTCAGTGATCTGATTTGAGCGAAAATATTACCAATCGATTTGCCTAATCTATATAGACAAATAAAATAATGGTATTTTCGCTCAAACTGGATCAAGATATCACGTCCTATTGTGCATAAAATCTAAAGTCATCAAACGTTTATATTTTATAAAATGGATAAACTTCTTTACTAAGAAGTAAATACAAAATTTAATCGTGAATATGCTCAGAAAAGATCTATTCTATCATATCCACGGATTAAA